AAAAAAAAATCTCGTCTGAATTCAATCTAAAACATACATCCTATGAGAACATTAGTGTCTGTCAAATCACTACGTGCAGAAATAAAAAGAGAAGTGCAGTGCAAAAGTCTGTGAACATGTTTGAAACTCATACTCTTTGACGTCTCTGAGCTGCTCCAAATCCTGTGGTTTGGTAAGGTCTGGATCATGAGCTAGAAGATGGATCATGTATGGCACCACATATTCTGGCAGGAGAGACAGCAGCTTTTCTGAAAATCAAACACGCAGGATATTTAGGTCTTGGCCATTCAAGCAATTTCGCACTTCCTCAGTATGGTATGTGTGATACCAAAAACTGTATCTACCATGGGCCATGGGGTTCTGTTTGATGTACTCTCTGCGGACACTGATGTTCTTGAGCAGGCACTGTCTGGCATGAGCACGGCGCTCTTTCACTGGGTCTTTAGCGCACAATGCAAACACAGCCATGTACTCCAGTGGCAACAACAGCTTCACCAGAGCAACATGCAACTTCTGAGCAAAGATCTGGCGCACCTGATAACACTCATCCTATAAAGAGAGGGGAAAGGGAAGGAAAAACGTGAAAATATGTGAAGTTGTGGCTAATATATGCTTTTGTAGCATGTTCTTATATGTCCAGTTATTTGATTGTGTTAATAAGCTGTTTTGTGCTTGTGCCTGTGCTTCTAAGAGTTTTATATATAAATGAATGATTTGGTAGAACAAACTACATTTGGATTTATATATTTGCCAACTGCAAGTGTCACTGTATTTAAGGGGTGCGTTTACATTGCATTGACCAAGGCAACTCAAGACATTGGCATTAATAGCACCATCTTCTACAAGGAAAATAGAGATGCACAATATATTAGTACCATTCAGTTTACATCTTAATATTTTTCAGCTTCGAATTATATTGGATAAGTAATTGTCATGCTCATTTCCCCTATTTTTATCTTAACATTTATTTTACCTTAGTTTCTACTTTTAGATTAAGTGAGCATTAGATGACAGGAAAGTTCATCTTTGAAAACACTTAAATGTAATACTTAGCAAATCTAAGAATCAATTTTCCTTT